GGCTAAGAAAACCAAACTCATAATCTGAAAATTATAAGAAAAATCTCAAGGTCCATATGCAATGTAAGTTCCACCAAAATGTGTGAAAAGTAGACACCTCTTGTGCATAATCTCTAATAAAAGGGAACAGGAAGGAACACTTCCAAATTCATGTTAGTTAGGTGGCATTTTCTTGATGAGCAGGGGGAACAGATCAAAGATCAGCATTCCTCATGTATGTAAGAAAAAGGAGGAGTAAAGATGCAAACGTAACAGGTAGAACTGTCTGTCAGAAATAAACTGAGAGGGGGCGCTGACATGAGAACAAAGTGGCACCATCTCTTACAAACTCAGGGTTTTTTTATAGGGTGGGGGATATTTGGGAGGGGGCTAAGAAGGGAGTTAGAACTGTGTTAGTACAGCTGTCCTTCAAATGGGCAGCCTATGCAGTCTGATGGTAAGAGGAGTTTGGGGAAGCTGTTCGATACACAGGCAACTTATGAGTTCCAGCAAACTGAAACTTTAGAAGCACTAAAACTAAGGCATGTCTCAAATGCTTCCTTGGTCTCCACATGCTGATCTGATACCTTCAATGTATATAAATGAAAAAAAAAAAAAAATCCCAAAACATTAGGAATAGGGTTCAACAATATGTAAAGATAATTATAGACCATAAGCAATTTCCTTACTATTCCAGGGACACAGACTGGCTCAACAGTTGGAAATCAACCAATGTAATCCATATTAACACTGAGGAAAAAAAAGTCACATCTGTAAAAGTGATGAAGAAAAAACATTTGACAAAATTTAACACCCATTTATTATTTTTAAAAACCTAAGAAATATAAAAATAGAGGAAAACTTTTAACTTTGGGGCAGACACTGAATCTACTGCCATTATATTGATATATCACTATCCCTTTATTTTCTTCCCTATCGTTCCTTATTTTCATGTATTTATTTGGTACAAGGTCTCACTATGTAGCTTGGACTCGTAGTGAACCTCCTGTCTCAATCTCCCAAACACTGGGATTATAGGTGTATGCCACCACACCTGATTTTGGTGGCCCGGGCTGGCATGGCATGTGGTACCGGGGATCGAACCCCGATCCTTACACTTACCAGAAAGGCACTTAAGACTGCTGAGTTATCTCTCCAATCTCTATTTTTTTCTTTTGAGGTAGGGCCTTATTAAGTTGCTTAGGATGGGTTGGACTTGTGATCCTTCTGCTTTAATCTCCCAGACTGCTGGAATCAAGTATGCACCTCCAAACCTGACAAGAACTTTTCACTTGATAAGAGAGTTATCCATAAAAACCTAAATGCTAACACTGAAACACTAGGTTGCCCTTCTCACAGCCTTCCTTCAACCCTCTATAGAAAAATCAATGAGCCAAGAAGAGTAAAAAAACATACAGATCTGTGGTACTTGATACACTGTGTCAATTTAAGATGTCTGAAGTTTGGCTGAATCAGTTCAGGCAGTTCCATCCATGCCCACCCCCCTCCCCACCTAAGGGCACACCCTGGGGCATGAATGGTTCCACCCTGGGCACGACAGCCCATCTCAGAGTGACTCAGCATAAAAAGTGTATATAAAGAAGTTGAAGAAGGTTCTCGGCTGTCCTGCTTCCTTGGAGAAGTCTGGGTATTTGTGGTGCTGCGCCACTTTGGAGGAGCTCTGATCTTCGCGGTGGAGCGCAGGTCTTCACAGTCAGCATAGAAGGACGAGAAGAGAGGCTTGATGGACCTGGAGCTGTTGCTCCTCCTCTGCTCTACTGTTTTCTGCTGCCATGAGCTGCTGCCCTTTGCCTAGAAGCCAATACAGACTGAAGCCTCCACAAACTGGGAGCTAAATAAACCTTCATTGTAAAACAATTTTGAGTGTCGGGTATTTGTCCCAGTAACGAGTAAAAAGTAAGCAAGACAAGAACATAAAGGGAGAAATAAAAATGGTTTCTATTTACAGGTGACATAACTGTTAGTACAGAACATCCCAAGGAATATTAAAAAAACAACAACAGTAACAAAAAAACCTCTCCTTGAACTAAGTTCAACAATATCACACAACTTAAAACAAACGTACAGGCCAGCGAGATAGCATAGTGGTCTAAAGCGCCTGTTTAGGCAAGCTTAGGCAGGCGCAGAGGACCGGTGTTCGATCCCTGGTGACACATACTGCTCCAGCCCCACTCAGGATGGGCTGAGCAAGCATAAAAATAAATGAAACAAATGAACAAAAATCAACTGTATTTATGTATATTGATAATAGCTATATGAACACCAAAATTAGAAATACATACTGCCATTTTCAGTTTCTCTAAAACGGGTTATTTACTGTTATTCTGTATATAATAGTTTAGATGACAATACAGATTCCTCTTGAATACTAGCAAAATGACAATGTAAGTGACAGCATGATGTTTTGGAATTTAAAACTTACCTATTACATTGTGCCAAAAAAGAAGCTCACTATTTTAATAATGAACTCAACTATTAGAAGTTGATTTGAATGTTTTAGATCTATTTTGCTGTATTTTTTATTACAAGAAAACATAAATCTGACACAGACTCACAAGTACAATTTCCAACTTCATATTTCCTATTTGAAGATAAATGACTATTCTAGTTGGTCTTACATTCCACTGCTTTTTCAATATTGCATGACTCTAAAATATGATGTTCACTGCCACTCTTAATGCTTTATCATTGGGACTAAAGTAAATCAACCATGTTCTAGATGTAACCTATTTTTAGGCATATGAAGTTAGAGAATTGAGAGAGGAGTTAATGGGGGCTGAACTCAGGGACCTGGACATGCTAGGCAATAGCTATACCACTCAGCTATATCTGTAACTCAAAGTTACAGAAATTTGATAAGAGAGATTTCTGAGGAAGCGAGCCACTTTGTGAAATTATGCTCAGATTTAAGAACTCCAGAGGGGCTGGGGAGTTACCTCAGCAGTCTAAGTGCCTGCCTCACAAGGGCAAGGGCTCAAGTTTGATCCCTCATCCTGCATGCTGGGCTGGCCCTGAAACCAAGCGTGGTGGTGGTGCACACCTGTAATCCCAGCACTGGGGAGGCTGAGACAGAAGGATCACTACAAATCCAAGCTGCATAGCGAGACTCTGTACCAAATAAATAAACAAATTCCGTATGTATTTAGTATAAACAAAGTTTTGTAGGGTTTTTATTTTCTGAGATAAGAGCTCAATTATGTAACCCAGCCTGGCCTCAAACTCTCAATCTTCCAGCCTCAGCCTTCTGAGTGTTGAGATTAGTCTTGCTCCCTTACGCCTAGATCTTCTTTCATCTATTTTTACCTCAACTGTAAACATCTAAAAATGTCCAAAGAGATATCTGATTATTCTAGATCATACAGTGCCTTTCTCTATAACTGTCTACTTACTTAGATCATTTTAAACCTCTAAATCCTGAAAACAGGTTCCCATTTCAATCAGAATAAAAAGCAAAGACTTTATAATAACCATCAAGATGCTACTGATAAGGCACCAAACCCCTCCCATCCCATTACCTCCCTAATCTCAGGTCCTTCCATTCTCTCTTTCTGTTCCCTCTGTTCCAGTCATGCTATCCTGTTTACACATGACACATGGTCTGACTTGGGAGCTTGGTGCCGGCTGGTCTTTTTTCCCTGGAACATGGATTCTCCAGATTATTGGCTAAGCCCTTTACATAGTCCAGAATTTTGCAACCATATCACATTCTCATTTAGACCTACACTGGGACCTACCACTTACAATGATAAAACTCCTCATCACAATGAAAGCAAGAGACAGGAAAAGGAATATTGTGGGACTGTCCTGCTTCAAGGTTGTATGTGGTGAGGTTTTTGGACTTATGTGCAAACATGAGAAGTATATAATTCTTTGTCCTATTTTTAAAATATAATTTAATTTTTAAATGTTTTTTATCATATTATGTAGGGACTTAAAGTTCAACATATCAATACTTGATGAAAAATACCTGTTCCTTATTATGCCTAAGATGTTTGATATGCAGACAGATAGTGAGGTTAAGCTTAATAGCCTAAGTTGTTCGATAATAACAATAAGCTTGTCTTCTGGATGGTTAACAACCTAAGTTTGCAGACCAAAATAAGAGAAAAAGGAGGGCTGCAAGGAAAGCCAACATTTTGGCCCTAGCCTTCTAAGGTCAATTAAGACTCAGGACATATGAGAACTTGTACTGTAACGTCATGTAACTCAGTAGTGTCCCAAATTTTCTGATCAAGGAGATTATGGGGTCAAAGAGGAAAGTGATCGATGATGCAGAGTGTGCCTAAGGAGAGTCACATGGAGAGAAAACACTCTCTCAGGCTTTCACAGAGAGCACATTGGCCAAGCAATGGCTGTGACTCATCCACATGGCTGACACTGACAAAGGTTCTACAATCTGAGGTACAGGATCTCAGGATAAATCCTGAGGGCATTTCACTGACCTTCTCAGACCCAAAAGATACAACTCTTGCTGCATAGGTCCTGCTTTACCTTGGTCTTAACCATCCAGTAGAAAAGTATGAAGACAAAATATAGGAAGTAAAGCTATGCTGTTATGTTGAGCTGTGGGGGACTCAGGTCAACAATTTCTGACATTGCCAGTTAAACAGAAGACCCAATGCTATTATGGGCTACTGGACTCCTTTAGAATATTTTGCTGAGTTTACACACCTATAATATTCACATTCCAACTTAATTTCCAAAACTAAAAGGTCTTTTAAAAAAGGAATCCTTGCTCTCTTCAAAATCTGTGTTAGATGCTCCTCTCCATGCACCTGTTTATTTTCCCCCATAGTCTTTTGAAATGTATTCCAGCAAATACTTATATATCTGCTTCCAAGACTAGAACAGTGTGCCTTCATAGCAGAGCCCATTTTTATTTGTCTCTCCATCACTGACACACAAATCACAACATGTAAGACAGGAAAGCAACCAGGTGCAAATGTATTATTTTTTTAATATCTAATAAACTCAATTAATGATGGATAACAGAAATTTACCTGCTATTTGTTTCCTTAGTTTTTCAATTTCTTCTTTTAAGTTTTTTATTTCTAAATCCTTGCTTGCTGTTAGTGGACCATCGACAGTTGAATGCTGTAAAGCTTGGACAGTCTGTGTAGACTCTTTTAATAAAAGAATAAAAGAAAGAATGAAAAAAGTGCTGATATATTTTAAAATATGTATTAATATATTTCTGTGTAGAACAATCTTGATATAGTTCCACTGACCAGAATGGTATCCCCTGACAAAGAGCATGAGCACACATGTAAAACTTGTAAAAGTTCCATTGCATGTTTTAAAATTTATTATATCTATAAAAAAGCAACATACAAATGAATCTGTGTTCTAATAGATGAGATTTTTGGTTATAAGTACTACCGATACACTTTTCTATTGAAGCAACTACTACTCAGTTCCATCTGTTTTAGCAAAGAGCATCATCATGTGATATTTAAACAGTTTGTGTACAAGAAACTAAGTCTGATATCTAAAATAGGTTTAGACTTGTCATTACATAATACATAGAAGTCCTAGTCTTGTAAGTTCAAGCTCATCTAAAAGTAGCATTTGGCTCCTTTATTTAATTAAAATTCATACATTAATTTGTCTTGCAGTGGGTTTTTATTTGGGATGATACTGGGGACTGATTACAGGGAACACTGAGCTACATTCTCAGCTCTTTTTTTTTTTTTTTTTTTTTTTTTAAAGACGGTCTAATTAAGTTGTCCAGGCCAGCCTCAAACTCACAATTCTTCCTGCCTTACTCTTCTAAGAAACTGAAATTACAGGTTTTACCTTGTATTCTACTGAGAAGATCCAAGATATCAAAGTAACACTAACTATACTGAGGCTTTTTCTCAGATGTCACCAAAAGATATCTAAAAAAAAAAAAACCTATCAAGGGCCAGAAAGATAGCTCAGCAGACTAATCGTAGGCTTAGGCAAGCACAGGGACTGAGGTTCGATCCCCCGCACCACATGCCACGCTGGCCACCAAGACCTGGCAGGTTGAAGCCCGCCTATAATCCCAGCACTGGGGAGGCTGAAAACAGGAGGATCGCTACGAATCCAATCTGTGCAGTGAGACCCTGTGCCAAATACATGAAAGAAAAAGGAAAACATGGAAACTATTTTGTATCAGAAATAAAAACACATTTTGTCTTAAAATAAGTTTCCTACTGTTTATGGAAACATTTCCATATAAGAAGTCTCTCCTTTACCGTAATTATTTTGAATTAGCACAAATCATTACTGGGCTTGAATGTGCGATCCTCTGGCCTTAGTTGCCTGGATCCCAGGATTAAAGGTGTGCCCAACTGTGTCCAGCTTCAACTGCTCTTTTCCTTGTCAAAATCTAATATTTCCTCTACCTTCCTTGTCATCAGCTAATGACCCTACTCTGTATTTTATTCATTGTTTATCTCCTCAGAGTAGGATATAAGCACTGAAAGAGCAGGAATTGTGCCCTTAACTATTGATTATTATATCCCTGGTCATGTGCAGAACACTTCCTGGCTCACTGGAGCTTAGGAAATGATAAATCAGCTTAAAAGTCAACTTGTGTCTTAGTTATGAATCATGCTAATATCAAAAGATACAAATCATATATAACAATAATCTCAAAGCAAAAAGAATTCAAGCATTAAAACAAATCCCTGGGACATAGAAATTTCTCATTTGTCATGTAATAGGATCGCTTTTTGGCCTCTTGGCTAAAATCAAGTACAGCATTTGTGATATAATAGGAATCAACATTTCACTCATTGCTAAATTGCTTCTATATGTATACACTGTTTATTTAATGAAGCTGAAAAAAACTTACTTTCAAAATCAGCATGGAGCTGAAAGCAAAGATGAGAAAAGCAAAATTAACCAGAGAGGAGTGAGCTCTGCTGAGGTAAGAGTGCTACATGAAATGCTTCTAACCTGGGAGAGTTGTCCATTTCTGTGAGAGAATGTAAGTTCAAGTTTCAGCTAGGGTGGAGACAGCATGCTGGAAGAAAAACCCTCAAAACTTCTAGAGACCAGAGGGGGTTGGTACAATATTTGCAAACTCAGGATCCCTGCACAAATGGCTCTCTTATCCCCATAGTATATTTGTAACAGCTGGGTGCTACATGGGAACTCACAGAAGGTGGTAAAAAGCAGACTGAAATCTTATGGTTTCAGAAACAAAGTACTGCCTGAGGAAGAGGACCTACCTTAAACATGGGTGAATCTCAAAAATGACATGTTATGTAAAGAAAGTTAGACACAAGACTAAACATTATATAGTACTACATCATTTATATAAGGCCTAAGAACAGGTAAAAAAAAAAAATAGTAGTGAAAGAAATTAGTATAGAATTTAGTTTTCAGAGTGGCAGGGTACAAAGTAGGAAAGAACATGAGGAGACTGCTATGTTGGAAATGTCTTATATGTCTATATGGATGGAGGTTACAAGAATGCACACATATGTTTTCTGTTCATGCACATAAAAGAGTGCTGCACATATTACTATATGTCTATCACCACATTAAAATGACGAAGAGGCCAGGAAAGGTAGCACATGCATGTGTAATCCCAGCACTAAGGCAGGAGGTTCAAAAGCTCATGCCCAGCCTGGGCAATTTAGAAACTTGTAAGGCCCTATCTCAAAAACAAAAAAAAAGGCCAGGGCAAATATCTGGGTTCATTTCCAGGTGCTATACTCAACCTCAAGCTTTATTTATAATAGAGGAAGTAATTCACATGTAGAAATCTTGGCAATTTATTGAAGAATGAAAAATAATCTGTTTTACTGGTACCAATAGTATCTTTCTCTACTTGCCTTCAAAAAGTATGATTGCAACACCTTTTGATCGTAAAACTTGATTTGTTCTCTCTCAGAAGTTACAAGTTCTTGGTTATTTGTTAATATATGCATTCTTCAGTCACAAAATATATAAATGAAATTGTATGTTGTATCTTTCATTTTGGAGAAAATGTACCATAAAAGGGGGATCCTGAGTGCTGGGGATGGACCTGAGATTGAATTATAAATAGGATTATTAGGAAAGGCCTCATTGAAAGCCTTCCTGAAATGAAAGCCTGGTAAAGGAATAAGTCCTGGACCAGCAAAATAGCTCAGTGGATTAAAGCACCTGCAAGCAGGCGCAGGGGGCCAGCAGTTCTATTCCAGGACCTGCCATGCAGGCCCTGTCCCTGGCGTGTGCTGAGACTGAGATTGAGACTGGGCGTGGTGGCATGTCTATAATCCCAGCACTTGGAAGGCTGTAAACAGGAAGATCACTATGAGTCTGATCTAGTAGTGAGACCCTGTAGACCCTTTCCTAAAATACAGGAAAAAA